TCTGCCTTCTGCCTTCTGCCTTCCTTCTCTCTTCTTCTCTCTCCTTTTTCCCTGCTCAGTTCCACCCTCCTTCTGGGTGGGGCAGGGAACCTGGAACTTCCCCTCTCCTAGGGACCACCCAGTTACACAACGACCACACATCCGAACGGCACAGATCGAATGCTCAGGAACCAGGAGTCAGAAAACTCCCAGGCCGAGTGCACTGGCATTTCCCTGCCCCTCAAAGAACCATTTTTGATCTAAAAAGGAGCTTTTATTAGCTTCTATTATTCCTGGAATGGTTTGGTCAACCTACACACTATATCCAACCTAAGAATGAGGGGGAACTGTCTTTCTTTATGGCCACTGACTATCATCCTATTAATCTCATCTAACACACGCTTTTATGTGAAACGAGGTCAGGGTGGAAGTTGAGGGAAACAGTAGGAAAGTTTATAATTACTCATAACTCTATTGCTTAAAAGCAAACTATGTTGGTGCCGAGTTAGCACACTACCCCCGGGGCTCCGGGGGGTGTGCCCCCTGTTGTGCGTGTCAAGGCGGCCAGGTGGTCGGGCCGATAAAGCCATGACACAGACTTGTGTTTATCTGCCTAAGACGCCACAGGGACGACCTGACCTTTCCTGCCCTAGCATACTCCCTTAAGGGCGTGTCGGCATCTGGCAGCTGCAGGCGGTGTGGCAAGAGAAATTCCCCACTTCCTCCTTTCCCGCCTAATTTTCCACTCCTACTGCCTAATGGTATATAAAGGGGTCGCTGGCAATAAACGAGAGACTCCTGGATGAAGAACCTCGGCGTCCTGTGTTTTCTTTAACCTCATCGTCCCTCGCTGGACTCGGCTCCGATCAGCCGGACACGGCAAACTACAGGTCTCTTACTGGACACTGGGCAGGAAATGATGACAGCCGTTGGTTCCCAGAGCTCTTGGTGCAGACACGCCTCCTGTCATCGTGGCACGCAACTCTGCGCCGGCGCCCTCAAGCAGACAAATGTTATCTGGAAACGTACAGTGCTGTGCAGTCATCCAGCACTATTGTTCTTAAACCCATGGTTCCAGTCCATCATAAACCACTGATTCTATATTGAATGAGTAACTGGACAGTCGCCGCACTTCTTGAAAATGGCCCCAAACAAAGAAAGTATCCACCAAGGACCAGCTGTGGAACTTCTCGATTTCCAGGATTTCCCCCACACCAAGACTCTGTCACAGGTGTCACACTCACACCAAAATACTCTCTCTAGTGCAGTCACGGAAGACCAAACTTTCATTTGTTTTTCATCTGCAGTAAACACTCAAGTACTCTCAAACTGCCCTCACTAGCTCTTGGTAACCAATGAGAGAATGTTTAGGACAGGTAAAATCTTGATTCCCTTTTAGCCTCAGAGTTGATGAACTAAAATTTCAGAGTCCTGTCCAGTGTTTGACACTGTAGAAAGAGATGTACCTTAAAAACCCAGTTACCACTCTGGAGGATTTAGGGTTCTTGTAACAAAAATCTGTATATGATGATTGAGCCTGTGACAAAGTGTTCCTTGAAATCAAATGAAAAGGCTGTCAATTTTTTGATCAGTGAAATGATTTGAGGGCCCATCCTGGTGTCACAGCGGTTAAAGCGCACTATGAGGGGACCTGCATGCAGTACTTCATGAGTTTAAATCCAGCAGAGAGGTGACCCACATGGCGTGGCACACCTCTGCTGTTCCGTCCACTGCTCCCCCAGCAGTGTACTTCAGTAGATCCACCATTCCCCTTCCTGCCCTGTCTCTGCTAACTCCTCTCACCCACTGCCTCCACCTCTGGCCTATCCCCTCATTCAGAAACAAAGAATTTTTTTAAACCAAAAAAGGAAATGAGGTTATCGCTTCAGGATATTAAACTATTTTACAGGCGCCTCCTAGTGGCCTAGAGATGAGTCTCAGCACTATCACCACCACAGCCGGTGTTCCAGCCCAGCCAGGGAGTGACCCACAATGCACAGCAGACAGCTCCTGCCTCCCCGCTGCCCCCTCAGCAGGGTTTCAGTAGATCCGCCTGTTGTGCTCGCTGCTCTGTCTCAGGTGAGTCCTCTCACACACTATCTCTAGCCTACACCAGCTTTTCTAGGCACAGCGAAATAAAACAAATCTTTGAAATCTGGCCAGAGGTAAGTCACAGTATCCACCAGTGATGAAGCGAGGGAGGCGTGCAGCTTACAGTAAACCAAAAAGAGTATTAAAGTTGTGAACTAATGGTCAGTTTGGCGACCACACTCCTGTGCGATTTTTCTGATGTTTACAGATGTAACTTCAGGGATGTAACGCTACCACTGGCAAACCAAAAAGCAGTATTAAAGGGAAATACTGGAGAATGTTTTCCTGCAGTCTTTACACACATAATGTCTCTGCACTGTGAACACGCTTGGTGTTTCTTGAGGTCTGACGATCATGAGAAAGTTTTTCTACATTCTGTGCACTCATAGACTTTTCTCTCCATGTGAATTCTCTGATGTACCTTCAAATTTGACAGCCGTGAGAAACATTGCGTACATTCTTTACATTCCTAAGGCTTCTCTCCTGTGTGAATTCTCTGGTGTCTCTTGAGGGCTGACGGCCGTGAGAAAGATTTCCCACATTCTTGACACTCATAGGGTTTCTCTCCTGTGTGAATTCTCTGGTGTTTCTCAAGGCCTGACGGCCGTGTGAAAGATTTTCCACATTCTTGACACTCATAAGGTTTCTCTCCTGTGTGAATTCTCTGGTGTTTCTTGAGGTCTGACTACTGTGTGAAAGATTTCCCACATTCTTTACACTCATAGGGTTTCTCTCC